TTTCAACCAAAAGACAAAACAAAGACAAATACTATTTCACAGTGTTAAAGAATACACAGTTTAGCAGAATTGGCAGCAACCGAATAAATTTACTAAGCAATCTAAGTGAAATGGCTAATCTAAGTGAAATTACGAGTAAATTTATCATTAAGTTAAATATGGAAAATCTTAAACTTACCTCGTTGCGTAGAGTATGAACCTCATTTTGCAACGATACTATCATCTCACGTAGAGCGGCAACCTCACCACGTAAAGTTGACACCTCCACACGCCATGCACCATCGTTATCGCGTAGAGTACCGATCTCCTCACGCAAGGCATTGACCTCATCACGTAACTCCCTTGACTCATCCCGTGGAGGTGGAGGTGGAGAACAGGGAGATAGGAGTCGTGGCATCTTTGCCGGTCGCCTATCATGAGGTGATGGTGGAGAAGAGGCTCGATGATGTGACGGGATAGGTGATGGCTCTCGTTCTAGAGGTGTATAGTCGGGTCGATCGGGTGATGGCTCTAGGTGAGGTGATGGCTCTCGAATTGGAGGAAGTGGATGCTGCTCATCATCCGTGCCATCAAAAAAACTCTGACTAGCTTGCCACCAATCAGTGGCAAGCTCTTCCTCCGTGGGTGTCAGTCTTTGTAATGGAATGTTGGCCTCCTAAAATATAAAAACTCAAACAAAGTTAAACGTCTACTATTAATAACTTGTTTATATATTATATGAAAGTATTTGTGTTAACTTACATTATTTATTGTCGCATATGGTATTAAGTCTTCCCAATCCAACAGAGTTTTCCTCTTCCAGGAAATAGCCCTGGGAATATCATTTGACGTTTTTATTGCATATGTACGCATGCTGGGGAAAGCCTCGAATATCCAAATCTACAAACAATATAATAACAAAATTAGTAATTGTTAAATAATTAATTATAATTTTAGAAACATTATATAGAAATTCTTACCTTAAAGGCCCAAACAAAGCCTGACAAAGTGTATTTGGACCCATCGCCCCGCAAACTTTTGCGGTCATCAAAGGCAGACGACAACTTAGTCCAGGTAGCTTTCCATATATACGAACCCCACGGAAACAGATTCCATGCATTCAGGTCCTCTACCAATATTATTAGCTCCCGATGAATAGGTTGTCTGGCCTCTCTGCCTAAAAAGCCGGCATACACAAGTAGTAGAAGGCATACTCGGACAACATCGACGTCATCCATCCGAGTGAAACCAGCTTTCTTATTAAACAATTTCTTCAGGTCGTCGACATGTAGGTTCGGCTTCTCCATTGACTCATCCGGAAAAACCCGGGATAACCATGATGGGCGGGCGATATGACGAGTGTACCGGCCTACATCATCGTGTCCGAATCGTAGACCAGTGATTAAGCAGAACTCCTTCCGCCCAAAACAAGTATACGCTGGTGGAAAATGAAACCATATCTCTTCCTCACCACGTTGTATACTGTCGGGTAGATTTGATGTCATGGTCTGAAGCCATAAATGGGTCAAATTAGCATCTCCACCCGGATGCTGTACTCTCAGCCATGGCCCGAAGCAGGTTTCCTCAAACAATTGTCTTTGAGCAGGTGAAAGCTTCGAAGCAATTGTAGTGGCCAGGCTGACTTTATTTCTCAAGGTCAATTGAGCCGAAAAAATTTCTACAAAAACAATAAACATACCAAGTTAGATATACCAAAAACTACACTGTGAAGATATACCAAAAACAATAAACATAAAAAGTAGTAGTTTATTCTTGAAACTAAAATTTGCAACACTGTTTTGTCTTTTGGTTGAAATGAAAATCGCAACGAGAGAATCGCAACGAGAAAATCGCAACGCGAAATGAAAATCGCAACGAGAGAATCGCAACGCGAAATGAAAATCGCAATGCGATTTTGGTTTCGCGTTGCGATTCTCTCGTTGCGATTTTTATTTCGCGTTGCGATTCTCTCGTTGCGATTTTCATTTATCTCGTTGCGACAATCATTCTCTCGTTGCGATTTTCATTTATCTCGTTGCGACTCTTCTGCAAATTGAAACTTGAATGGATTGCATTACTTCAACCAAAAGACAGAACAAAGACAAAGACAAATACTAACTTGAAAATCGCAACGAGAGAATAGCAACGCGAAATGAAAATCGCAACGACAATCGTAACGCGAAATGAAATCTAAGTGAAATGGTTAATCTATTATTGAAATGACCAGTAAACTTATCATCAGTTTCAATATGAAAAACCTACAATAATGCAAACATTTCAAAATAAAAATAATTAAAAAAACTAACCCTCGGAGGTTGATTTTCCATTTCTGAATATTGTGAGGGATTTCTGACCGTGAATGGTTGTGAGGGATTTCGCCGGAGATGGGGACGGATTTCTTCGCCGTAGAGAGTGAGAGATGGAGATGGGACTGAGTTGTGATTTTAGGTTTTAGGTTATGAGTTGCGATTACGGGATTTTGTCTTAATATTCGTTTTTGTAATTTGAAAATAAAATACGCGTAGCGATTATAATGGCGCTTTAAATATCGCGTTGCGATTTACGGATACGCGTTGCGATTTTATGTATTATCGTTGCGATTTACGGATACGCGTTGCGATATACGGATACGCATTGCGATTTACCCATACGCATTGCGATTTACGGATACACGTTGCGATTTACGGATACGCGTTGCGATTTATGTGTTCGCGTTGCGATTTTCATATTCGCGTTGCGATTTTGGAAAATCGCAATGCGAATTTGTACTATCGCATTGCGATTTTCAAGAATCGCGTTGCGATTTTGGAAACTGATTTGCGATTCTGGGGATCGCGTTGCGATTTTTATTTCGCGTTGCGATTTTGTTGGTCATTTTGGCAAATCCAAAAAAAGTTGGTTAAAATCGTATATTATAAGGCATTTTTGGTCACTGAGGCGATTTTCTCTAATAATAATACACAGACTAATGAATCCATCATTAGCCTAAACCATTGGTTAATGATCGTGAGTTACATTGACTAGCAATCAAAAGTATAAAGTATTAGCATTATGGAAAACCCTAGTTTTCTTTTTATTAGTGTGTCATTTATCCTTTTTTTAGTCTTTGTCGATCGACGACGACGACGACGACATCATTTTTAATGTTAGTTATTGATCGTCCGTATTTTTATTGTCTTTTTTATATTGTATATTTATTTTCTTCTATTTTATGATTTTCAATAAGCTTGTTGGTATGGCACGTCATATGTCTTTATAGTATATTTTCTTATGTTTTTTTATATGCTTTTGAATATTTGGTCATTTTTTTCTTTATCTTTTTCTAAGGGTTGATTTGATATCATTACGACTGATCAAGATGACGTTTTTATGATATCTTGTTGATCTTCCCTGCTTTGAACCCTCATATTAGACTTGGATACTCGATTTGCGTTTGTGAATAGCTTTTCACATCGCTCGAATATAATTTGAGGTTTGTGAATATCAGATCTGTTTGAATCTATTTTTATAATTATGTGTTTAATTTACGATTGCGATTCTAAATCTTTATTGTAATTTAGAAATATTTACTATTTTGAATAAAATTAGTTGCTTCTATAAAAAAAATTAGCATTATGGTAATCAAACATATGGTTTAGTTATGCTAATTCATACAATTATATTTAGGGTAAAGTATATAAATGGTCAATCGGCTATAGAGTATTGTTTTATTAAGTCTTATAATTATTATAAGTTACAAAATGATCCCTGACTATAGGGTATTACTTTATTGAGTCTCCAACTCTTAAAAGTTATAAAATGATCCACCCACTATAGGGTATTGCTTTAATGAGTCCATCAACTATTAATAGTTACAAAATGGTCACCTGACTATTCATTGTGTTCCAAACTCGTCCTTTTTCGTTAAAAAATTCATTCCAGTATGAGTTGGACGTTAACATATTGATTGGGATATGATACAATATGGACCAAAAATCTCAAACGACTATCATATCCCAGTCAGCAGGTTAATGTCCAATTCAAACTACTATCAAATTTTTAACGAAAAATGATGAGTTTAAAACGCAATGAATAGTCGGGTGATTATTTTGTAACTTTAAATAAGTTGGGGACTTAAAAAAGCAATGTCCTATAGTTAGGGCATCATTTTACAACTTTTAACAATAGAAGGACTTAATACAAAATACTCTATAGTCGAATGACCATTTATGTACTTTATACTTATATCTAATGGTCAAATTTGAATCCAATTATTGCAATTAATCTTTGTTCATCTTCTTTATATAAGAAAAGAAGGGTTAAGATGAGGGGTTTGTAATAAGGCATGTGATCCCATTCTATTCCCTCCACCTCACGTCTTTATTTTTTCTTATGAATTTTATAATTAATTCTGATCGAACTATAGATGGATTCATGGGATATTAAGAAACGTGGTCGTATCTTAATAAATTTTAAAATTCTATATAATTTATATCTTTTATATTTTTTGTGTGAGATAAATTCTTTTAATATTCAATAGTTCAAGTATGACATCCGTAAAATTAATAAAAACAAATTTTATAATTTTAAGGATTTATTTAAGTATTTAAAGTATTTTTTTATCAAAATAAGTATCTAAAGTTATCGTTTTAATTAAAATAGATGCCTAAAGTATATTTTAGTTACAATAGATACCTAAAGTATTCAATTTTTTTATACAAATATCTAAAGTATTCTTTAACTAATGTTACATGTCAATTTTTTATAACTTAAATGAAAAAGTTTGAATAATTTAAATATATATTTTGATATAAAATACTTTAAGTATCTATTTTGATTAAAAAATAAATTTTGATATTTATTTTGATTAGAAAATACTTTAAATACTTAGATAAAAAAAAGTAAAATATACTTTAAATGATTATTTTTTATATAAGCCTAATTGTAACAACCAAGAATTGAGAAGGGGAAAGAAGTTTGAGTGGACTGAATCGTTATCCCTAATAATTCTAATTTTGGGTCTGGATCAACTGTTTTCTTCTTTCATAAACCCTTTTTGAATTTGATTCTCAACATCCAGTCGTGAAGTCCTCACATGGCCGCTGCCTCAGAAATACCTGACACCCAAAACCAATGGGAATTCAGCTGGTGTTTTTCTTCTTGCTCTCAAAATTCCATCTATTTTCCTTTGGTTACTTTGTAAAGTGACATACTTCACTTTACCATTTGTTTTCTGGGTTTCCAATTATTATTATTTTTCTCTTGAAACTCTGAAGTCAACCGTAATGTCTCTAAAAACGATCTTCTTTTACCTATATGCAGTGATTTGGAGGTAGATTTTGAGTCCGAAGAGAATGCTTCAATAGTCTATGCTGCATTGGGTGTTGATAAAGAGGTAGTTTTTAACTTTCAATGATATCATGGTCGTATACATGATTTTATAAAATTTTAAGGGTCAAAAATAAATTATCAGAAAAATATGAGAGTTTGAAATTTCCAAGGAGCGACTGCCCCGTCAGTCCCCTCAGTCCATCCGGAATGATATTGAATCCCTTTTTTATGAGAATGATTGTAATTGTTTTGAGCATATTTTGGATTTGGTTCATTTTGTAATGCAGTTGCAACCAGATAAAGTGAAGAGGCAAATGTCAATCTCTGATGGGAAACTTTCAGTGTAACCACTTGTTACTCTGCCTTCTTTGGTTCCAACAAAATGTTTTCCTTTGGATAATTGCTTTCAAATTCATCTTTCATGGGAATTGCATGGATGACATCCTATATTACTATGTTACCAGACATATTTGGATATAGTGTTGGGAAGAATGTTGAAAATTTTGCGAGCATGCCCGTTTTAGACACATACCCGTATTGGACGGTCGCTTCGAATCCAAGAAACATAGTGTTATCTTTTTGTTTTGGTGAATGGTGACACCTTAATCTCGAGGTTTAGGCATTAGAGTTTGGGATGTGTGAGGTGATGGGAAATGCTTCTCTCTTGTTGCATGATCCAACAAATGATATCCTAAATGTGGGTGGATGGTAGTAATCTGTTACTCGGACTTGGGTTCGAGTATCATATAGGGGTTTGTTTATTATATGGATCTGTTTGAATTTATCTATGTTTTCCATGTACTTGGTAAGTCCTCGGAGGACCATATCCTGGTGTCTGAATATGCGTTGGACAACGGTACATGAAGCAAAGTGAACAATCTGAGCAACATAGGGTGCTATAATATTTTACTCCGTTTCCTGAAATGATTCTGATTTTGAATGCTTTATTCCTTTTAATGCCATTTCCTAACTGCAAACTTTGTAAATAATCAGGCACTTTGAAGCAGTCGAAGCAAGGTTTCTCCGTGCATCGTTTTCAGCTTTTGCTGATGTACTCACACTCGCCACGAAAACCATTGAAGAACTCGAGCCAGAAATGGTATTGTAATGTCTGATTATCGCAATCTTACTCTAAATGCCGAGTGATTCCGGCATCGATGTATTCTTTTGCGTTTTTGGGTGTACTCTGTCTTTGTATTCTTAATGATATATGTGGAATTTTAGCCAGCTTCTAGCACATTATCATTTTCTTGCAGGTTCTTCCTTGTGTATGTTGATCAGCTTTAAAAATGTGGACCTATTACTAAGCTATGCCTAATTATTCTCTTTAATGTTATCGAGACTTCATTTTCCTTATCCGTGTTTGACACTTGTGTTCGATACGTATTTAGCTACGAGCGTATCCATTCAATATTTAAAACCAGAAAAGATCGACATTGATCGATCTTTTCTTCGACATATATGCTGTCTTAAAAGGCAACCAGGGACGATTTAAAACTCTGAGACTGATGCTAGTTTAGCAGTGAGTAGGGATGCCAACAGGTTTTGCTTGTCTCCCGAATCTATTGACCCAGATTTTATTTAATACTTAAGTCCTCAACACCAACTCGAAAAAATTAAACCAAATATATATAATAAAAATATATTAAAGATAGTTATAAATGTATAGCTTCATCCTTGAAGTTCTCTTTTCTCAATATTCATCCAAATAAGTATATAGCATCTCATCTTTCTTTGATTTCCGACGACTAAGCAATGCTTTGAGAAGCCTCTTACTTTTGCCCGGAGACTGATCGATGTCTCTGTGGATATCTTTCTCCGATTGAAGACGCATTGAAGCTGATTTTCGAGGCTCTGATGGATACTAACAGCAAAAGTCAAAACTCATTATAAAAGATATATATATATATATATAACGAATAACATATCATATCATAAGCAGAGTTAGCACTGCGTGACTTGAGCAATTCTTCATTGTCAGATTAGTTAATTCTTATATGCTCACCCGCTGCATTGCGCTGGCTGAAATCGGAGTAGTCGATCGGCTCTTATTTGGGGTGTTGGGCCTGCTAACGGAAACAGACCGTAAAAGCGGAAACCGATGTGGCAGTTCTGTTTGCTTCTCTGATCATGCATGTAAACATCATCAATGAGTTCATAACTTATGAAGTGAAAGGGAAAAAAGTATCCAAACCTTGTTCTTTCTTTGGCATGGTGTTCGTAAAAGAAAAGACGGGGGATTGTTGCGGAGGCCGTGGAGAAGGTGACGGGGAATGCCCTTTTCTGCAAATGCCAATTGAATAAGTATTGGATTAAGTAGCCATGGTTTACCAATTCATTGCACTAGAAATGTAACGTTTGTTAGCCTATACCCGACCAACATTGGGGTTTCCGTGACTGAAGATGTTGGGGATTGTCGGATCGTAGAGCGGACAGCTTAGAATAAACCATTACAAGTAGGAAGCTACATTAGAATCTTGTCCGAATCCAGTATATAAGAACTGACACTAAAGGATAGAGTGATCAACTACCATTCCTTAACTGATGCCAGTCATCTTCATCGTCCAGGCCACATCCTACTAATTTCGACTTCGTTCGGTTAACACCGTTGATCGTCTCTCCGACTGAAAATTTCAATAAAAGACTTAATAATTGCTAAAAATGTGAGAAAAAGAAGGATGAAGATCACGAATAACAGAGAAGGGTAGCTTGCCTGGCAAGATGTACCGTTTATGGTACTTGGGCGTATGAACGACTAGTGACTGTTGGCAAATCCCTTCACGGTCGATATAGTCTCGGCATGTCCGTAGTCTCTATAATACCACATTTGGAACTCAAACTCGAGTCCGAGTAACATATACTATTTCACAAAGTTCTGAAAACAATCCGATCTTACCTGTTCGATGCAAGATACCCGGAGCTCTGTTCCAGAAGTCGCTTTGACTTTTTCGTGCAGAAGGTCGTTAACCTTGATTGTCATTGATCCCAAATGATCTATTGTGTTCACAAGAGCTTTGATGGTATAATCTTTCAATGTTTGGACCACCCTGCACATATATGAAAATCTTAGTCATTAAACAACAATGTGATGAACAAAAGTAAAAAGCAAATACAAAACTCCGAATGGAACTCACATTTGCTTTTGATCATCATTGGTGTAGGTAACCTCAAAATATTCAGCTGCTGAGTAGAGCTGCGTTCTCAGATTTTTCAAGTCCTGAAATAAAGTAGCGGTTGGAAAACTCGGGTGTGAATGCCGGATTTCAAGTATCATTTTTCTCGAACTCGTTTCGGATGAATACTACAAGGAGAATGATTGATTAGGAATGTAGAAATGCAAGCACTAACAGTACCTTGAGACTTTCAGAGAACAACAAGCTTTGCTGCATAGGAACTTCATTGGAATTCGACGTGTCTCGAGACATCGACATTGCAGCAGCATTAGCCGTTAACTCTGTCAAGAAGATTAGACTTGTCTTCCCACTTGTTGTGCAGCTGAACTTTCAGGTACCGTTTAAATAACCTTAGAACCCGATGCTGTTACAACGCACAAGGAATCGTGATCCGTAAAAATACATCTCGTGCTGATAATGTGAATACTTATACGTCGAAATCAAATGGTGTATCAGTCGTGGGAATTCATGGTTACCATGATTGTCTGCATCTTTTTAGAGTCAAACATAAAATTTGTGACCCCAGATTCACATAACATGTCATGGACTGACTGCATTTGCAATGCAATATTTAAATAAAAGCTTCCGATGTGGGATCTTGGAGAATTCTGACAGATCCAGAGTAACCATTTGATTAGAAAACTTGTCTATTTGTTCACAACAGATCTCTATCTGATTCAGATAATTTACTGACCAAACTCTTCTGTTTTGTCCATTAGTATTCGACTCCATTGCTTAAATCAAACTTCTTTGTTATAGGTTCATGGTATCCTGATAAAATGGAACCCAACACTTTGAGTTTATAAATAGAAAATATATCTGGAATACGTTAACATGATGATACACATTTTGGTTCCCTTACGCCTTTTTCTGGGACTCTTTTGCCCACCTCTTGCGGAGGAACTGATGGAGAGTTCCACCTGATTTAACATCTCAACTTATCTGTATCCATTTTTGGATAAAGTAATTTTTAACCTTTGAATTTGATAATATTTAAATTTGATCCTTAACTTTTTTTTTCTCTATATTAATTTTTTAAATTTGAATTTGATAATATATTAACTTTTTGCATGTTTGAAATCGGTGGAGCATGGTGGCATTAGTTAATTCCAATATTTAGATTTGTGAAATAATGATCTGTGCCGTGATTGTTGGGTAGGAAGAGACTTTCTTTATCAAAGGAAACCACTTCTTTTAATCAACATATTATTGTTAAAATTATAATCTAATTGATTTTATTGTTACCATTAAGATAATTAATCGAATATTTTCTTAATTGAATAAATTAAATTAATAATTATGTAAAATTTTCATGATCATACTAAATTTTAAATTTTGTCTACAATAATTAAATAATTAAATTTATTTTTTTATATATTTAATCATTTAATTTCATGAAAATTTTATTTCGAATTGATTGCGAGGTGTAATTTCATAAATTCAGCTCGACTTGAAAAAATATTTCAAATTCAAACAGGGTTATAAAATACAACTCAAATAACTCAAAATTTGTCTTGGGTATCAAATTTAAAAATTATATGAAGAAATTTTTTGAATGGAAAACTTGAGTATTAAATTTTAGGGCTGTAAACGAGCTGAACGAATACAAACGAGGGTATGTTCGTGTTCGTTCGTTTAACTTTAATCAAACAAATGAAAGAAAATGAGAAACTAAACAAACAAAATTTCTTGTTCGTTCATTAAGAAATGTAGTTTGTTCGTGTTCGTTTATCTTTGCTCGTTAAAATGATAAATGAGCACAAACGAACGGACGTTAACGAACACACACGAATGAATGCAAACAAACATAAATGCACATAGACGAATGACCATAAAATTAATTGAGTTTATATTTGAGAAAAGTTCTTTTCCTTTCTGAATAATTTTAGGGTTTATACTTTCTTTAATTAATTTGAGTACTTTTTATTTGGTTTATAATTAATTGGATTTTAAAATATTAATGAGTTAAGGTTAGATTTTATTAGGTATTAATATTTCAAATGAGTCTGAAGATTTAGCCAAATATAAATGAACAAATATAAATGAATGAATTACTAAACATTCACGAACGTAAATGGACGAATAAATCCTTTGTTCATGTTCATTCATTTAATTAAACGAACATTAAATCTTGTTCATATTCTTTCGTTTAATAAATAAATGAACTTCCTGCCGAATATTTCGTTGAATGTTCGATTCGTTTATAGGTCTATTAAAATTTTTATTGTTAAACTATTTTTAAAATGTGGGATCAATTTCTTTTTTTAAAGGGTATCAATTTTTTTTGGAAGTGGTGCCATTTCTTTAATTTAATTATATATATATATAATGAGAATTTTAATTTTTAAAATAAATTTGGGTGTCAATTGACATCCTTCACTGTATACGGGCTCCATCAGTGTATATATCACGTATGAAGAAAAATGAAGAAATATACATATATTATATATGGTTAAAAACCATTTAAATTAGAATTAAACAACAACACAATGTTATAAATATTTATAATTAAATTTAAATAGAAACTCAAAAATTCGAATCAATTCAAAAAATTCGAATAACTCAAATTTTTTTGACTCAACTCGACTTGATCGAATGATCAACCATACGTCTAGCAGCTTGATTAACAATCAATTAATTTAATGAAATAAATCACTAAATTCCTTAAGTCAGAAATTCAAATTTTAACGTTATGAATGAAACAAATTAAGTTGAAAAATTTACCCCATAGTAAACTTTTATAGTATCCTATCTGAATCAGTGTTATACGGAAAAGAAAAGAAAAACTCTAGTTGCTTGTGTTATACTCAATAAAGACCAAACGAAGTTTAAATTTATTTCAAAAATGGAATATTAGGTAATTCCGTAGTATTCTGTTCATAGGTATTCCACCTAATCAACAAAACATGCAATCTGCAAAGCTAAATTTTACTCTAAAACAAAGAAAACCAATGCAACATCACCGGAAAGCTTCAATGGAAGCTCAAACCCAGATTGGCGAAGCTGAACCCTTCAGTTTTCCCACTGCTTCACCATAAACATTTCCTCCCAGGGTTCGGGTATTCAACGATTTCTTGGACCATTTAAGGTTCTCCGCCCATTTTTGTGATTCCGACATTCCTTCTTCCGGTTTTTCCGATCATGGAATATACGGAGGATCAATGCAAGCCCATTCGAAAACCTGCTCATATTGAATGGCGGCAGTTTCCCAGGTGGAGTCTCTTAGCATACCTCTTCTCATCAATGCTTCCCATGTTGACTTGTGATCTCTGTAGGTCATTATAGCTGTCCTTAACGCCTGCAGTAAGACGAAACTTAGTTCCGATTAAGAAAGTCGACTATGGAAGCAAACGATATCAAATATTTTGCGGTTCAGACAGATTAGTTGAAAGGCTTAAAGCAGTTGTTTTAGCGGAACCCGAATCACGACTACGGATAAAATAAATGAACATTTAGTCCTATAGAAGATTTCTTGGCATAGAAGAAAACGGTAAGGGTCCAGTACCCACCACTGCAATATGAAGTCGCTGAAAAGGCTTAAAGCAGTCGGTTTCGGATAAAATGGAATAAAAAAGACGGATAAAATAAATGTAAATTTAATCCTATATAGCTTCGAGATAAGGCATATGCATAACATTAACATACCTCGAGCATACTATATAGTTTCGAGATAAGGCATATGCATAACATTAACATACCTCGAGCATACGATCTTTCGCAAGGGGAGAAAAAGTCCACCTGCAGCATATTCACAACCATTTTAAGACAAACTACATGCAGACGAACACATAAAGAATAGTTTCATCCTTTTTTCTATATAAAAGCATGCACAAAATCTTATGGAGAAAACTGTCACGGAACGTTTCATACCCTGTGCCTTCACCGCTACCGTCCCCAGCATACGGACTGAAATTCTCTACCGTGTCCTGAAGAGTAAGTTAAGAGGCATGTCATGCAACCTGAATCGGGATAAAAACAAACAGGAAGGAAATATTTTTATTGATTTAAACTCACTCTAAGTCCTCCTGTGGCATGTACTACTGGTACAGTACCATATCTCATTGCATACAATTGATTTAATCCACAAGGTTCATATCTTGAAGGCATCAACAGTATGTCGCAGCTGCTCGTTCCAAGAAAGAATCGTGTATTAATGGTTATCTCGGTTCTCATCTAACATGTTAGCAATAAAAAGTTCTGTTACCCTGCAGTGATCCGATGAGAAATCGGAACGTTAAATCCGACCCAACCGCGGAATTTATCTCTGTAAGTTGTCTCTGCTGCTCTCATCCAGTCCTCATACAGAGGGTCACCAGAGCCAAGCATTACCTAAAGGAAGTTCAGAAGCTTAGTTCTCGTTTTAAGTTGAAAGTCGAATAATTAAAAAACATGATATATGGAATAGATAGGCCACTAGATAGCACCAAACTTATGCTTGTTAAATGACATTGCCACAATGCACCCGATTACCGAAGTCCCCACAACTACTAGATTGCAATCCATATTCCGATCATTGCAGAGATCCCCCGATGAATTGAGTAATGATAACTTGAATGTATCAAGGTTACTAAGTAAATGCAAAACTCACAAATTGTACATCATCTTCCATAAGCTCGGGAATCCCCCAACGGATTAGGTCGATTCCTTTCTGGTAGTCCAATCTCCCTATGAATCCAATCTGTATACAACTTCAAGAGAAAGTAATGAAAGCATGTTTTTTTACTACCAAGGCGAATCTAACAGGAAGTAAAATCTTACCAAGGGACATTCAGGCCTAATTGGAAGGCCCAATTCCTTTTGAAGAGCGGTCTTGCATTGCGCCTGAAGTTAACAATAGATTAGGACAAGAATTATCCAGAATTTCGAGTTTTTTTCGATTATGAATGGCCAAGACTAGAAGCATGAGAGTAATTACCTTCCCGGAGAGATCGTCAGCAGAATAATGGAATCCGATATGCTTATCTGAAGATGGATCCCATTCCGAAACATCAATGCCATTCACAATTCCTGGTCATCATCGAATGTTTAAGAGATGTCTGGTTAAACATCTAATTTCATCCAGACAACAAACATTATACATAGAAACTTGGGCACAAAACTTAACCTTGAATACATATGTACCTGCACGGCCTAACAGCTTCCAGATTTGTGAAATCAGATGACATGATGGCCAAATTCTATTTACAAAGTTGAGAACACTTACCATTTAGAACAATCCTTCGACTGCTTAATAGCTCGTTTAAACCATATCCACCTTCAACCGTTGTTATTTCCCAAGCATAGCCCTACAATTAACAAGTATAGTAGACAAAATCCGTCTTTTAAGATTACTAGAACTGCAGGCAATAATTTAAACTTATCAAGTAGAGGACAGTTTATACTTCTCTATTGCAATTCACTGCAGTCTATCTGAGCAGAGCAGATATGCAGTGACTTTTCAGTCCGGGTTAACATTAAGCTATGTTACTCAGGCTCGGTTGCGAGTGTCGGACAAGGTTACATGTCCAAAACAGGTACATTCAGATATTTTCAATACTATGACTGGATGTGTCATTTAAGAGTGTCGAACAAGGATTCTTCATGAAATATTAAGACTTAAAGAAACCTAATATTTAAGTGTAACATTTAAGATGTAAATGTACCATAAAATAGAGAAATATGTAAAACAAATCACCTTGCTAACAGTAAGTATTCTATCAGCCGTCACGATTGCACCTTTTAAAATATTGACTGCTTCCCCTGGGTCAAGAGCGTGTGTTCGTGCCCATGTTGGAAACACCCATTCCAGTGCCCCATACCACTCCTGAGGCAATCCCAAGTTCTTATATGTCACTGCAGGTTCCACTCCCTTGCACATGGAAAACAATATAGTTAAAATCATTATTGCAGAAACTCACTTGCACAGTTCAATTCATAAAAGTACAATTACGCATATTGCAGACTTAAGAAATCCAAAGGCGAGTTTTTTTCTCTAAATCGGTTTTGATGAACCAGAAAATGAGAGAATCAAGGACAAAGCAAAAATAATATGAAAAAAAGCATCTACCTGATGTCCAAGGTTATGAATTACAAGGATGCTCCGAGCATCTTTATAAGTTCCGTATGGACGGTATTTGGAAGCCAAAAGCCTGAAAATTTAACATGTGAAATCAGCAGTGCGAATTGATTTAACATAAGCATTGAAAAGATACGTCTCAGACAACTATAATAGGAAAAGTAATTCATAATAGACATTGTTTCTAACACAAAGATAAATCAGATATAAAGATGGACCGATGAAAAATCAGAAAACAACTGCAATAATAAGTAAGCTTGTCTTACACTGGAACTAGACCGGCATGCCAATCATTGACGAGGAAAAAACACTTCCCCCCATATGTATACCCTCCCAGTGGAAGCACTAAAGGAGCTTCACATGCAGCATGACAAAGGAGGGTAAAACGAAACTGTAAAGTCAAAATCAAGAAAGAAATGGTCACTAGAAAACGTAATAATTTTGTGTTCAAGCACACAATAACCGGAACAAACATTAAGTATACCTGGTTATCGCCAAAGGCACCATGACTATCACCATAAGGATTTCCAGGTCTATGGTATGAAGGGTGGTCCACAAATACCTTGCAATAGAAGAAAACCGGTAAATGAGAGCTTTCTTCAAAAAAATATGGATGCACTACATCCATTTCACCCGCTTTTCAAAACTATTATTTTGCCTCTAAATTTTACATTTTTAGTATATATAATGAATATATACTCGTATATTACACATATCCTAAAAATTATATATTCTAAAATTATGTTAATAAGTAAATTGTGTTGAAGTACGCTAGAGTCCTTATACTATATAAGGAAATGCAATAAGTTCTATAATAGTTAAACCAAAAAAGTGCTAATCTGATTACAGTAGATTATTACCCAATCAACGCCATTCTTATACTCATGGAAGAATGCAACCTCTTGCTCCCCTTCAAAGCAATGTACTTTGATGCGCCGATCAAGATCGAAAGCACCAGCAAAGTTTTTGTCGTCGGACGTACCATTGAGGTATCTAGGAGAGACAACCATGACACGATGTCCGCGGCCAGCCAACACCGCGGGCAAAGAACCACAAACATCTCCTAATCCACCGGTCTTCGAATACGGTGCTGCTTCGGCCGTAACGAATACTATATTATAGGTTACTCGGGGTTGTATTATTTCTTCTTCAATTACCTCATGTTCTTCTTCAGGTTTGACATCCTCCTCTTGATGAGAGTCAATAGCGACTTCACCTATGATTCAAGTTAATACACAAGAGTTAACCCACTGAACAAAGGTGCTGGTAAAGATACTAATTAAAGCAGATCAAATTTTAGTGATCAGCAGAAATTGTTTAATAACAGAGAAAAAACAGTAAAAATTCAACAAAATCGTTTAATAACTATAGTGTAATATATATATAATCAATTGTGTCACTCAACTCTGTTTTTCACATAAATTAATTAAGGATATTGTCTTGACAAAGTGGTAAACTTGTGTTCCCCAAATGGTTGATGAAAGGGAAATGCCCAGTTTAACGGATCGGCATTGAAAACGAAAACATGCACGTGACATGTCCGGTAAGGAGGGGGCAAGGACATCTTTCTTGTATTAAAAAATAGAAGTTTTAAGGTTTATAGACCGATATGAAGATAAGATAAATAATATCAACATAAAACAGTCTAATTTATATTTCTAAAAAGGAAAAAGTGGAAAGCCTCTTGAATGTTTCACAAATCATTTAAAAAGAAACTCCATCTGGACCAAAATTGAAGGAAGAAGAAGTTTCATCATCATCAAAGGATTACTATATTAAAACTCTAGATTCCTTCATATCACTATCTGAATTTGTCATAAATCAAATAGAGAATCCAAAACAAACAAACAATAAGAAATTTCAATATATTAGAACGAGAAAATACCAGAAGGTGGAATCAAATGCAAGGCAATGACAGAGCCGGATTCATCCCTGTCTATCCCCAGAAGAACGCCTTGCTTTTCCTCTTGTTTTTCTTCTACTTCTTCTTCATCGAGAGAATCGGAATTGAAATCAGAGTCGTCAGCTAAACCGTCGAACTCACCTCCATTTCTGGTCATATCCGATTTTACTATTGTCAATTTACCTATTCGAAAATTCTTTCTCATCAAATGACTCAAATCAACAAAACTCGGTCTCACACTGAGAGCATGATCAGAAATATTGACAGATAATTTGCAGGACACTGGGCGAGTTAATTGCAGAGACTCCATTACTAAACAAAGATTTCACCAAAAAAAAATAGAAGAGAGAGTTTTGATGGGAATAGAGAGAGTACTAAAGGAACATAACAAAGATGAAAATCCCAGAAAAGGAAACCACTTGCCAGTTTTGTACTACAGGGAAAAAGAAAAAGTAAAAAGCCAAGAACCAATTCAGTAAATCACACTACTTGATGTTTCTCGGGTTTTCTAAAGCCGACATTTTTTTAGATGCGCTGCTGGTGGACCTCAATATACAGCTGAAGCTTTGGCTGAAAGTGATGGTTTTTCACCACGTCATCATGAGATAGATTGTTTGACGTGGTAATTGTGGAGAAAACAGTTGGAAAGTTAAACAATTAATCTATAAATTTAAATAATATAGAAAAATATTTTTTACTATTAAAAAATTATATATTATTTCTAATTTTATTAATTTTTAATTGAAAAAAATAAAAAAACAAATATTATAAATATTATAACCTTTAAAATAATAAAATTAGAATATATTATCTTATAAAATATATATAATAATAAATTATATTTTTATATGTCTACGGGGCTTCTTCATATGGTATTGAAACTTTTTAGTTTTCAAAGGAAATTATATTGTACGTCAATTTTAATATACGGTTAAGAAAATATATTATTGGTTTTGTTATTATTTTTTTAACAAAATCGGTAAAAAATTACTTAAAATATTATTATTTTTACCTAAAATATTAATGTTTTTTAACATTTTCGGTAAAGTGCCCAACAATAACAAAACCGATAAAAAAATAATGTTTTAGATAGCGCTTTATCGAATATGTTAATAAAATTGGTAAAACGCCCAATAATAACAAAACCGGTAGAAATAATAATGTTTCGTGTAATTTTTTACCGATTTTATTAAATAAATAATAACAAAACTAATAGTATCTTTCCTTAATTATATATTAAGGCTCCGTGCAATGCATAATCCATTTTTATGTAACTATTATGAATTTGACAATTGAAAAGATTGATTATAGTATAAAAGGCCAAATGTTTTTTTAATTCCATTTTCTTTTTTATATAAAATTTCAATGTTTCATGTCTACAATTAAAAGTTAATAAAAAATAATAAAAAATTTAAAAATTGTCAAATATGTTATATCAACTTTTTGAAATAAATTTTTTATTTTATAATTTTTAACATATAATGATATTTATATGATAAATTTGACTATATATTTTCTAAATAATAGAGCTTAACATATAATAAAATCAATATTAACGTACTAACAACTTAAAATAAACTAAAAAAATTATAAAACTAAATTTTAACTGAAAATTTTATAATTATCAAAAAGAAAATAATTTTATTAATATACAATATAATTATAATATACAATGTAATTTCTCTCTCATATTTATAGATTTTACTGACTATTAAATTGTTTTTTGTAATACATCGCGCAAAACATAAACAAAATTATGTTGAGTTCTGCAGCTCCTAAGAAGCAGATCTGCCAACTCCACTGGAGGTTCCATGAAGACATTCATTCCAACAGGAACACCACGACTCATCACCGCCAGCCTATCTGCAACAGCATTCTCATCCCGACTATTGTGTTTAATCTTAATATTCCAGTCTCGATCCCGAACTCAAGAATCATGGTAATCAATTACTCCCTACTAACGCATCCGAAAGGTTATTGCAGATTTTGTAAACCTCAAGCTTGTCCGTTTCAACCTCGACACGTCAGAATCCAAGTCTCCAAGCATGCAATAAGGTATCGTGAAGTGCCCACAATTCAGCCATAAGGACTGAGCATCTTCCAAGACTTCGTGAGAATCCGAGCATCCAATCTCCTTCAAAACTTCGCAAAATTCCCCCAGCCGTTGCCATATTGTCACTAAGACGAACAGCTCCGTCCGAGTTTTCTTTTATTCATCCAGTGGGGGCTGAGACCATAATAGATTATACCAGGGGGCCATCGCTGAATTTCGGTCAGCATTGGCAACCACGATTTCATCAATAAACTAATTGCAAATAGTACTGAAGCCCTCTCGTTGTACATAATTTGGATTGAAAATCACATTACACCTGTACTTCCACAACTGCCAGTAATACACAACAAACTTTATATCCCAATTCTTATTTTGCAAAGCAAAATTGTTTCCAGCATTCAAGTTCACCTCGAGCCACTCCTGCTATGGTAATTGTAAGAAATCATTAAGTTTATCGGGTTTTACCATTGTTGCCCAAACCTGGTTCGCCAAGCGACAATGGCGTAAAATGTGATCGACATCTTCCTTATTCCGATTGCATATTTGGCACACATCAGGTGTCGGCGCATCCGCAACGTTAGTAAATAGAAGGTCAATGTAAAACGAGCCATAAGAACACACGAATCCTCTACGGGACAGCCAACTTCCAAATTCGTTTCCAAGGCCAACTATCCTCAGTATCATGGTGAGTGATGGATTTATACGCAGATTTCGAAGTGAATTTTCTATAACTCTCCCATCGTCATCCAGGAGTGTTAGGACCGAAGTAATCTTGAGGTGGTTGAACTGCGGCAATATGGTGAATGATGCTCTCCGAGAGGAGTGGGGTGAGACGCTCCCAATTCCAAGACCCCGAGGGAAGTACCATCGGACGAAAAGACATTGGGTTCGGCGGAGATGGTCCCATATGAGAAAATATGAGACGGTCCTCGTTATCAAGCCAGTGATCGTACCAGAAATCCGTGCTTTTTCCGTCACGAATGTTCCAAGATATATTCTCATTGAAGTCCCTCCAAATGCATTCCAATCCTTTCCATAAACGAAAGCCATTAAAAGTGTTGAGATCAATCGGAAACAGGTTCTCCCATTTATATTTCCCACGAATAATTCGTACCCAAAGCTTGTCCGGATTTAAGACCAATTGGAACCCAACTTTCATAAGAAAAGCTTTGTTTTGATTGTATAGATTCTGAATACCAACACCTTCAGTTTCCAAGGGTCTTTGTAGGGTATCCCATTTAAAAAGCGGAATGCCATGCCTACCATTATTTCCACCCCACACAAAACGTCGGATGATTTTTCCATCTCCTCGCAAAGGCCCTTTGGAACCCATGAAGCCTGCACAACATAAGTCAGCATAACCTAAAGAACTGCCTTAGCTAGTGCAATACGACCAGCTAGAGACAAAGTCTTTGTCGCCCAACCTGAGAGACGTTGATTCATTCTATCAAGAAGGTAGGAGTACGTTGCCTTTGTGACTCTATTATGGAGGAGGGAACTTCAAGATACTTTCCCAGGTCACGAACCTCTTCAAACCCGAAGCTTCGAGCCAAAAAAGGCACTAGGCAAGCAATACAAAAAGCTGTTCCAAATTAATGGTGTAAGTTCTTAGTGTACTACTTTGAAATGCTAATTCATTTGTATTCAATGCATGTTTAACTTGTCTGCAATTATGCACGGCCAATTTATTTCACTTTGATTGTCTTTCTCACAGGTCAAACTGCACATCACAGAAAATGCTTTGAACTTAATTGCTAGAAAAGCAATAATTAAAAATACAGGTGCTCGAGGCTTAAGAGCCATCTTGATGGATGCCATGTATGAGGTATGTTGACCAACCATTAAGATCATAGGGTGCTGGTGTTCCTGTTGTAGACCAATGCCGCTGGGCTTGGTGATTTTAGTGAACAAAGTTTTTTCTGAAGTTGGTGTATGCTCTATCTCTCCTGTTAATGGATAATACACATACATTCTGCATACACAATTATTTAAACTTAAATTTTATAAATAAAAAGTAGTTATATGTTACAAAATAATCTAAAAGAATTAGTAAGAAGAACATGAAGAAGAAAAATATAAGAAGAGGGCATAGAAGTATATTATTATCTTAATATTAATTGTATATAATATTTTTTCTGAACTCCATATATAAAACTCTAACTCTAATAAATATTAGAGTCCTAATAATTAAACATATAAAAAATTCATCTTATAAATAGATATATAATTAGAGATAAATATCCACATAAATAAATATTCATAACATTATTTTTACTACTCTAAAAAAATATTGTATTACCCAAACCAAAGGCACCATAAAAGTACCAAAATTACATTTGTATCCCCACCGTGGACAACGCCTCCCTTTGTATATAACCCCTAAGCGAACTCTCAAGTTCTACCGGCTGATAAAAAACTCAACACTAAGCAGCATCTCAACTCACCTGAGTCAAATCATGGCAATAATCTCCGATTTTCAGGAAGAAGAGGCTAAAACCTCGACTTCTTCATCTCCACCAGCGAAAGCGGTTACGTTTAACGCGAGCTTGGATCCGTCCGATCCAGTTGGGTTTTTGGACAAAGTCTTCGATTTTCTAGCCAAAGAAAGTGATTTTCTTCGGAAAGAGAACGTTGATAAGGAGATTGCAGCTATTGTGAGAGTTGCGAAGGAGAAGGACAAGAAGAAGGCTGAAGAGGTGGCTCCGAAGGTGGAGAGAAAGGAGGTCAAGGAGGAAGTGAAGAGGGAGCCAACGAAAGTTGATAAAAAGGAAGAAGAGAGTAGCTCTGGTATGAAAGGTTCGAATTTCTTAAGTTCTTTTAATTTTTCTTCTTATTATTTTATAAAAAAAATCATACAAGTCTAACTTGTGGAAATTTGTGTATCTCTTTAAAAATATAGTAATCTGAGTTCTGCATTGCTAAGTGTTTGATTCTTTGTGTTTTGAACTTTAGACGACGAAAAGGATTTAAAGGATTAAGATTGTAATTACTTACTAGCTCTTTAGGTTTTAATTTGTGTTTATAGCACGGTTTGCTTGTTTGGAATGAAATCTAAAAACAAGACCATGCTCTGCTTCTTTTTACTGTACTGAAACTTGAGCAGAGACTGTTGTATGTTGGATATGGAAAGGAATCCTCTATTAAGCAAACTTGAGCAAGTTTCAAGAGATGAGTCACATAATCGAGCTTGAGCTATGTGCTGTTTATGAATCTGACTCTAGCTCAAATACACCCCTTCAATGGATTATTGCTGTTCCTCTATCCAGTTGTCTAGCAATTTTTTTCATGATGTCTTTTTACGAATTTCTCTAAAAAAATTAAGTTAGCAGGTGTCCATGGTGTGAGGGATTTTTGAGGTTTATTTTGTTCTGAAGAGAAGACATGGAAACATTTTGGGTAGGATGATTTTGTCCTGGCATGTTTTGGACTTTGGTTGAAGCAGGGAGGTTTGATTGCATAAGCTTAATGATAGTCTTGGTGTAAGTTGGATTTGATGCTACCTGAACTTGCATTCACATGAAACTTCTAGTCATTTTCTTAAAAACGTGGTAGTGAAGGATTTTAGTTTGCAACAATGTTATACTTGGCTCAACCATGCACTGTACTAATGTTGAACTTCCCATAGATTCTTCTAGTATTGGATGTTGTACAGTCCCAGATTTCAAAAATTGCTTCTTATATGTTGAATTGCACTGTGCTTTCTCTTTCCCCATCTTTTTGTTCATTTGTTAACTGATTTAGGGATGCATTCTCACAATTGGGGCTAATGGAAGGTATGGACGGCATGATTTTATTACAAGTGGCTATGATTGTTAAATCCATAATTGGCTACAAAGATGTTCACCCTGTTGGATTGCCTGTAATAAAGGGACTTCTTTACTTCTTTTGGTTGTATGGGTGGGTGTCTTCTTTTTATTTTTTAGGGGGGGGTGGAAAATGTTTATGATTAAGTTGAGGTTAACATGTGATCAAGTTTTACATGGAGGATTTCGAATTTGGCATTGTAAGAGGCATGCAAAAATGTTACTCAAAGACTAGTTAGGTTCACTGTATTATTTATACTTCTCTAAATTGGAATGTTTGGCAGCTCCAAACAAAGGCAATGGTATTGATCTGGAAAAATACTCTTGGACACAATCCCTGCAAGAGGTCACTGTTAATGTTCCAGTTCCCAGTGGAACAAAATCAAGGTTTGTTGTATGCGAGATAAAGAAGAATCATCTCAAAGTTGGACTAAAGGGCCAGCCTCCTATTATTGATGTAAGTTACTCCATGTGCTTTTTGAGGTAGTCTTAATTGGTTTACACAGTCACATGCCTTTTTTTTTCAGGGGGAACTTTTCCAAGCTGTCAAACCCGATGATTGTTACTGGAGCATAGGTATGTTATCTCAAAGAAAATACGAGTCGTGTACTGCAAGTTGAACTTTATTTGTACTTTTCTTTTCCCCCTTCAGCTAGAGCTTACAAGTTTGCAATTATTAGTTTTGCTAGTATTTCAAAAAACATGTTTTTCTGACTTCGTTGTCTGTGTTGGACGTGATTATGTATCTGTAATGAGTATATTCAGTTTTTCCATATATTGTGGGTGTCATTGGATGGTCTTAACTCTGATCTACATTTCCATGTCAAAAATATGTCCTATAGAGGTATTAGACATATAGTTACTTAAAAAAAATTGAAGAGTAGGGAGAATATATTTAAATTCCAACCTAGTAAATCTTGAATTTTATATGAAATCAATGTCGTAGGTGGTTACTTAAACTTAATACGTTGAATATCTTTTATTTTGTCGAGAGAAAAGAAGTTGATGATCTCCTATAACTTTGCTGCATTACTTTTGTAAATGTGCAGATTTCTTTTTTTTTTCTCTCTCTCTTAAATCTTTACTTGATATGTCGGCATTCTTTATCAAATAGCTATACCTGATTTTATCGAAATGAACTATAAATACCTCATTCAATTCTTCATCATTCTCTTTTATCGGTCGGTGGTTTAAAAATCTTTCTCACACTTATTGTAGAGGATGGTTGTGCACTGTCAATCCTTTTGACCAAGCACAACCAAATGGAGTGGTGGAAATCATTGGTAAAGGGGGATCCTGAAATTGACACTCAGCAAGTCGAACCAGAGAACAGCAAACTGTCTGACTTGGATCCCGAAACACGACAAACCGTAGAGAAGATGATGGTAATTAGTTCTGTCTTTTCTATTAATATTTTGCGTTTGGATGGTTTTTATCTGCCAAAGGAGCTCTCGTCCCAGAACAAGTCAAAATTGCCTAGTTTTTAGTATTTTTTTTAATTGTAACATTATTTATCTACATTTTGTACTATGGATCCATCATAAAATCATGGTCGGTACTTGCCATAAGAATGGTGCTCTTTGTTGCAGTTCGACCAAAGACAGAAGGCCATGGGCCTTCCAACCAGTGATGAGCTCCAAAAGCAAGAAATTCTGAAGAAGTTCATGTCGGAGGTAACCATTTTCTTCCTGAACTTGTTGTATTGCAACCGGCTTTATTAATCCTCATATGGAGCAGTAGGTGATAACATTTGCTCAAATATATTTGTTGGTATTCTTGCAGCATCCTGAGATGGACTTTTCAGGGGCAAAGCTGATGTAAGACATGGGAGTGGATCTCAGTTTTTATTTTCATTTTCCCCCCCAATGATTTTGGGCGCACATTTTTCATAGTTGGATATTTTTCTAAACTTTGGTAAAATTTGCTTAGTTTTAATTTTGGGTTTTGGATTTTATTTTATAATATTATTTGGTAAAATTTTAATATCTTTTTAAAAGGGATATGGTGCTTGCGCGTTCTTTGAATCACATAAGAAGATCAATCAGGGACGAGCCAGAATACGAACTTATTCTTAATAGAGGTTAGATTCAGAACTTATTCTTAATAGAGGTTAGATTCAGAACTTATTCTTAATAGAGTTTAGATTCAGAACTTAGCGTCAGAACTAGAACTTAATAGAGAATAGATTCAGAACTTAATCTTAATAGAGGTTTTTAAATTTTGTACAAAATTTATTTTTATCATTTATTTATTTAAAAAATATAAATTATAGTATTAAATGTCTATATTAGTTTTATTATTTCTATGAATAACAAGTAGGAAATTAAAATAAAATTAAGATAAATAATAAAAAGAGAGATGATTTTAAAGTGTGTGAAAGATATAATTATCACATAATCATAATAAAATATATTGGTCTTTCAAATCTCAAAATGTATCCATGAGTGATATTAAAATTAAATGTATGATTAAACAATATCAATTAATAAATATATTGTTTAGTTGGTTACCTTTAAGAATTGACATTTAATTGACCTTAATAAATTTCTGTCAACCATACTAAAATGGGTTTGTTTACTTTTGTTGCGGACCTGTTGATTTTATCATAATATTTTATGTTAAAAGTAAAGACTTTATAGTTTATTATATTTTGTTTTGAGAAAGTTAGAATCTCTATAATTTTTTAAGTTATAAACTATATGTTTAATTCTAAAATTATTACTTTTGTTTTGTTTTGTTTTGATACTCAAATTTTATTTCTTTCAAAATTATATTTAATATTTAGTTTAGATTTTATTTTGATACTCTGTTATTAAAAACTTAATGATAATGTTGTTGTGTCATCATAAGATAATATCACATCATTATTGAAAAATAATATAAAAATATCATATTAACAATTATGTTAATTTTTTTAACGATGGATAAAAAATTGAAACTTAAACTAAATATGATTTAAAAAAATAAAAATTAAATACCAGAATGAAAGAAAAATAATAATTTAGATACTAAACTCATAATTTATCTAATTTTTTTAACAAGTCTCATATTAGTATAAAAATTAAAACCGATGTCGGAACTCTTTTGAGCCTCAATGACCCTCCCTCACTAAGTACAATAGTCTCTTTATTATTAGGAATGTTCTTTTAGGTTTATTAAAAAAATATTCTTTTATTACTATTTGAATTATCAGAAGTCTATTTTTATATTTTATAAAAATAAAAGATAAAATAAATAAAAAATTGAATGTTCAAATTAGGTATGGAAAAATTTTAAATTTATAAATTAAAAACTACACAAACAACTCAATAAGGTATTCAACTTTTTCAATTGCTTTAGTCAGTGTTGCTATCTACCACAATCGACAATTTTCATTAAATCTCGTGTTCGTATTAGAAAGCCTTTGCCTCAAGAAGCTGACATGACATGATATGACCCCATGGAATTTTTTATAAAAGGCCCTAGGCTCAATAACTCCCAAACGTGATCCCCTTCTAGGCTTCTACTCACCTTTGAACACACAGATAACCTCACATAAATTGTAATTCTTTTAATTATTATGAGAAACTATTTATCGACATGGATTAGTTCAAGTGATAAACAATTTGATATTGTTTAAGTAAGACCTTAAATTTTAGTCTTTGTGTATGTAGAAAATCTCTGCTGGAAGATTCACCCACCAAAATCAAGTGTACAACACAAGTCAGTTAGAATTAATCAAGACGAAATATTGAAACTGGGAGAACAATCAAAGAAAATATGAGAAATTATTTAATATCTATACTGCATAAAATTTAGATTTCTTAAACATGTCTCTTTGAATATTTTCAAATTTTAATCTCTAAATCTTTAGAATTTATAAACACAAATTTTAAATAGAACAAAAGATATTAATACAACCATGTTTGTAGAATATTTTCCCGATATAAAATAATAATCCTTAATATAATTATAAAATTAAATAATGTAGTCCACTTGACAGTTATAAAATCATTTATTAATACGTTTTGGTCCCTAAAAGAATTTTAATTAAACTTTAGTTCATTAAAAAAAATATTTGCTTTCGTCCCTGCCTTTGAAGAAATATTCAATCCCCTTCAATCTTGTTTCAGCATAAGTGCGTAGCTTGGCCCTCACGTGAGATGCGTAATACTGAAATCGGATTTGTCGAGGAGAAATTAATATAATCTTAAACCCGGTTTCGACCACCGGTCGTCATTAGGGGTGCATATTGTTTGTTAAAATTTTACTCGACTCGTGCTCGTTAAAAAAATTTATTATTCGACTCGTTGCTTGTTAAGTTTATTAAATTCGTTGCTCGCCTTTTTTCTCGTTAAACTCACAAAAAGTTTTATTTTATTTTTAACTATAGTAAAATCTATTAATATTGTATAAAACTTAATATAAACATTAATAAATTTAACCAAAAAATTATCAAAAAAATATATGAAACAAATTCAAAGTCTAAACACCAAAATAAAAATCCATAAATACATTAAATTAATAGCTAGGTTTTAATTTTTGGGTGTAATAAAATATTAATTATTAATTAATAATTAACATTTTTAATTATTTATTAGAAAATAAATAGATTAGTATTTGAATGAAATATTTTTTATGATTACTAAAAAAAATTAACTAATACCTCACGAACTTATCAAACCGAGTTAAACATTACTCGACTTAACTAGTTAAAATCTCAAGTCAAGCCCAATTTTGAGTCGAGTTTCTACCGAGTTTTGACAAAATCAAGTTCAAGCTGGTCAACTCATTCTACCGAGTGTTGACCAAATCAAATTCGAGCTAGTGGTCATCCTGCTGTTCATTTAGAGGGTCATACACTATGTGCGACTAGGAGTGTTGAGGAGGGGCAATAATGGAGTCTTGCTTTGCTTGTATATGAAACCTCTACAAAGCATAAGATATTTAATTTAACCATCCACAAAGGTTGAACCAGTTAAAATACGCAAATTCTTGCCCGGTACAGTATGCCTGTCTCCCGTGGCATAAAATGGCTCGGCACTCGTATTCACGACGTCTTGTCCGAATGAAACTTCCAGGCAATAGTGAATGCTTTAATTGTTTCTCGAATGCCACTAGTTTAGTTCAGCTAGAAATCGAGTCAATGTCTTAACATTTAATGAACTATTCCAACCTCTATCCCTGCCACCAAGCATTAATCATAAATGATCAATGGAAACATAACCGGTTACCAAAATACACACCGTGTCCGCAGGCATGCGAAACGCGGCTCAACAGAAGCATCCTTAAATGAGCCCCTGCCGCTGCAAATCAGTATATGTCTTCTTGTTATAGATGTTGCCTTCTTTATCTTCGTATTCTTCTTCAAGATCAGGGCGCCACTTGTTCACTCCTTGCCGTTCTCGTATCTTCTCCCACAGTTCTTGTGCTTCCTGCAAGTTTTGAATTTTATGCTTACAGGTTAACAGTTGGGGCTAAGATACTAAATATACCCTTTAACACTATACTTAGACCCTACCCAAACACTGAAAGTTTAATTCGTATGCAAATAAGCCCTAATATTTAACTTGTATCAAGTAAGCAAATGAACTCTTAACATTAGAATCGAAATCAGAACTTGTTCATGTACAAACCAGAGTTTGTCAATTTATAAAAAAACAATAGCAGCCACCAATGTAAATGGCACATTAAACTCAATCATGAAAAAACCACAGGTAGGCTGATGAAGCAGGAAGAAATATAAATTGTTGCGCAATATCTGAAAAGAAAATATCAGATACCTCAATATTGGTAATTTCATTGAAGTTCTTGGTGTTAGGAATACCAAGGCATCGCATGCCATGTTGATGCCGCCATTCTTTGAAATGCCTCTCGAAAGCTCGTCGTCCCCAGTAGCTATAGTTCCCACAAATCTCGCACTTAAATTCCTGAATAAAAAAAGAAATCGGGTGCTCTATTAGATCCCGTGACTTAGAGATAATGAAGAACTAAGCAATCAAAAAGCGAATAAAAATACAAAAGCCCTTGTGCAACCACACCATCCTCAACCTATCCAACACCCCTAGGTTTGAATTGTATTGAGCGAGATCAATTAGGTTCGATTAGGCTCGTTTCATCTAAATAAAAATAAAAATGATTCTCATGCTTAATTTCAAGATTGGTTATTTATGCTCGAGTTTAAGTTCCCTCAATATTATTTAAAAATAGAAAACATCAACCATTTATTAGAATTAGTTGTAAAACTTCAAGGAAAATATACCTATAGACTTAAGAAAACAAAAACAATAAAAAGAGGCAAGTGTTATATTCATTAGAGCGTTCACCATTTCTTGTTTAGAAATCTGTAAGTTGGCAAAGTAGCTGTGAATGCAAAAGTTCACTTCAAGTATAGAATTAGAAATTACCTGACCAAGACCGTGAAGTTTGTAAAGCCAGTAAGGTATAGGCTTTCCATCCCAACCCATTGGCAATTTAAGAGGATTATAGATCTGTTGATCATCATCATCACTTTCAGTGTCAACTTGTGTCTCTTCCTGTTAGAAAGCAACAAGTTCTTGTCAGACAAACACAGCAGGCGCTATTTTTAAACAATACAGGGACTGACAAAAGGCACTAGTTAACCAAGACATTTGACCAAATGCTAGTGCCTTCTTATGATGCAAAAAAAAAAAAAGTCCAACCAAAAATAAAACACCCATTCAGTGAATAACCAAAGTCCATGGTAGAGAAGGGAAAACCCAAAATATTTAATCAGTTAATTCATTCAAAGATATTTCATCCCCTCTATTTGTTTTGCCTGAAATATGGTCATAGTAATTGGGTAAAATTCTTAATTTCTACCATTTAAAGTGGGCCCTTCACACAGAATTTTACCCAGTTACACCCTGAAGTGAGAGCGG